TCCTCTGGAGGTCCAACAACAGGGCAGGGAGGCCGAGGCCTTGAGAAGAACCTCAGAGGAGCCCTGCTGGGTCAGACCAGGGAGGGTCCCTCTAGTCCAGCCTCCCGTCTCACACAGGGGCCAGCCAGTTCCTCTGGAGGGCCAGCAACAGGGCAGAGAGGCCGAGGCCTTCCCCTGATCAGAACCTCAAAAGAGCCCTGCTGGGTCAGACCAGGGAAGGTCCCTCTAGTCCAGCCTCCCGTCTCACACAGGGACCGGCCAGTTCCTCTGGAGGGCCAGCAACAGGGCAGAGAGGCCGAGGCCTTCCCCTGAGAAGGACACCAGAAGAGCCCTGCTGGGCCAGACCAGGGAGGGTCCCTCCAGTCCAGCCTCCCGTCTCACACAGCCAGTTCCTCTGGAGGGTCAACAACGGGGCAGAGGGGCCGAGGCCTTCCCCTGACGTTGCCTCCCGGCCCCGGGCTTAAAAGCTTAGTGCCTCTGAATGTGGAGGTTCTCTTCAGTCACCATGGTTAGTAGCCAGTGATGGAGAACTTATTAAAGAACTTATTCTCCATCCCCCATAATGCTAGAACTTCACTCAATGAGTAATTAAATTGTGGAACTCACAGCCAGTGGACATAGTGGTGGCCATGAGCATAGATGGCTTTGGCCCAAACTGGACATTACTGTCAGCCTGGCCCCTTTCCTGGGTCTGGTTGCCATGGGAATGTGGGAGGTGAGAAGAAGAATGTATACTTTTGTTTCTGCCTGTTATCTTTCTTGACTCGGACATGTAACCTTGAGCCTAGCCATCCCTAGTATCCTCTTTCCCCTGAGAATTGTGTGCCATTATTCAGGTGGGCTTTTACCTTAGGTGTGATTGGCCCAGGGCCATTAGGATCCCGTTTGATTTGGGTATAATATCTTGCTTAGTGCCCAGTTCTAACATGCTTCGTTAAGAGTCCGGACGCTATCAATGTCTCAATAAACTTTTATTCCTCTGAATGACTGTTGCTGGGAACTGATTTCTCCAGGAGCTCTGACAATTACGTCCTACATGATGTAACAGGCCCCTCCCTGTAGCTGTTTTGGCTTTGGAAAATGTCACGAGAATCCTGAAGCTAGGATGGTTACCATAGAGATTTGGAGAATTAAATTGAACTTTGTTGGTCTTAAAGGTGCCACTGGATGTAGTTCTGTACTCAGACAAAGACGTTCTTGTTTCCTCTCTTCCATTACGTGTATAATGAGAGAGAGGTGAAAATGAGGCAGTCTTTGCAGGAGGGTTCAAACTGTATGGAAAATCCCCTTGCAGTATAATCTGATTATCTCATTTTAATATTTCCTCCTCTAAAAGAGACAGTATTTGAAGTATTAATTGCTTTAAATTAAGCTGCACTCACTTGCCTCTACTTCTGTGGAGATGAAGGCACTTAAAATTTCTCCCCCCCCCCCCAAGTGCGTAATAATGGCAGGCAGCACAATGAATATATCCGTGTGAAACCCTTTACCTTGATAGGGTCCTATTTCTGGCCCTCAGTGTGATTTGCTGATGATATAAAAGGGTATCAGTTTTTATTTATTTATTTATTTACATGCGACTTCTATACCGCTCATAACCCCTAATGGGTCTCAGAGCGGTTTACATACTTACTACTATACAGTAGTGATTGAACCTACCTAGGGCCACATTTCACAAGGGGAGGGACTTCCCTATCGACACCCTGTTGGCAGCGCTTCTTCCCTTCTCCCGGCGGGCTCCGAATGTTATTGTTGTTCTTCCAGGCCTCTTTCTGGCTGCCCGGCGACCTTCTCCCGGAGGCTGGTGTTTTTGTGCGCAAACGTTCTTCCGATTGAATAAATGAGTAAGAAGGTGTGGCGACCCCTTATCTGGGGAGGCCTGGTTTCACTTTAAAAGTGTTCTTTTTATTTTGTTCTATTGAGGATATCCGGCTGCCACCAGGAAATTTAAGGTTTTCCTAACCTTTATACTATACTGTTTCTATTATTGGGTAGTATACTATACTGTTTCTATTATTGGGTAGTATACTATACTGTTTCTATTATTGGGTAGGTAGGTCGAGTTTAAGGCTTTTCAAGGTACTAAGTGTTCTTGAGGAAGGATTCCTTTCAGCTGGTATACTTAAATAAAAGAAGATTTATTAAAATAACTCATAAATAAAAGTGTAGAACAATGTAACCAGTAATGTGAATAATTTTAACAATTGGGTTGTGTCTCACACAAGATCTGCTCCCTTTCTGACAGGGATCTTTCAATTAACTTTGTAACTCATTAACTCAGGGTCATGTACGTTTTTTGTTTCACTCCAATCTGTCGCTCAGACTTTCATATAACTTTTGTTTCCTTAAACGTTACTTTACTGTTTCCTTATACATTCAACTTTTCTTCATACACAGAACTTAACTCTTGTATCACACACAAGACTCTCTCTCTCCCAGACCTCAAAACGAACTAACATATCAACTGTCTTCATCAACTGTCAAACCTGTAACTGTCACTCTTGACAGACATACACATCCATCCACTCAGAACCACTTCCAAAACCCCTCCACCTCTCTATCAACCACCAATCACACCACTCTTGTCTCCTCAACCACTCTAATATATCTCAGCCATGCAACCAAACTTTTAAAGAGACACGCACACACATAAAACAAGGAATCATTACAGAAGGTTACATGACAACAAATCTAGATAAACCCTCTTTTGAAAGGCCTTCATCAGTTTCAAATACATCTGAAATGTTATAGAATGAAAGGCCTCCGGAAAATGCATCAGAATCTTTTGCTGCCCTTTCCTCTCTGACAAGAAAGCTGGTCGTAAGTTTAAAAAAACAAAACAGAGGCAGGGCAGGGTGTTCCCTTTCTTGACTTGTGTTCAGTGTAATGTTTAGTTTGGACCTTAATGAAGGAATTAGGCAAACTCATGGAGGCGAGGTCCACCAGTAGCTACTAGCCATGGTGACTAAACAGGACTTCCATAGACAGAGGCAATGAACGTCTGAATAGCAGTGCTGGACTTTTTAACATGTTTTGTAAAATTTCATGAATCCAAAACCATCATTTTTTCACTTCATCACGTGACCACCACATATGAAAAAAGGACCCAGTATTATTTTGACATTTCCAACATACATCTGGAGTAATATACTATCTATAAAACATATTATACATATTTTCCTTAAATATCCCTTTTGTACCAGAATTATTCTTACTGAATATTTTACCAGAAAACTGTAACCAACATGATTCTTATCTTATAATATATGTAACAACAGCGGCGAGAATACTTTATGCTAAATATTGGAGAAGAAAGGGAGTACCTTTGAGAGAAGAACTTGTAAACAAAATTTTGGAAACTGCTGAAATGGATAAACTAACTTTGGCCCCGGTCACACGGGCAGGAAACTGCGGGGGAGAAGCGTGGCTGTTTGCCCTGGGGCAAACTACTGCGCTGTTACGTGATCAGACCTCCCGTGGAGGTTCTGTGGAGGTACCGTGGAGGTTCCATGGCAAGGGAGAGGTGCTGATCACAGGACAAGCCGGCGCGCAACGAAGAAGCGCGCGCCACGGCAAACTGTTTTTTGTCTGTGTGTACACGACAAATGCGCATGCTCCGTTGGGTGCGTGTGCGCATCCACAGAGACTTGGACAAAAAAAACCCACCTTATTTGCAAGGGGACATGGGCGGGCGCCGGATGCCACCGGAAACGCGATCAGACGCCCGCCCTTGCCCTGCAGTTTCTGGAAACTAGTACCTCCGAGGTACTAGTTTTTTGCCACGCAGTTTCGGCTGGAAGCCTCGGTTGAGCCACGGGAGTGCTACGCTTCCCAGATGTGCTGGTGAGATCGCGCCCGGAAACTCCGCCTGTTTTCCGTCTCACTTGTGTGGCTTCTGTTCCGTGTGACCGCAGCCTTTAATTCTCAAAGGACAACCAGAGGCAGTCTTTGAAAACACCTGGTCAAGATTTTACAAATGGATGGAAGAATGTAACAAATAAAGCAGCAGACATACAATTCATTTTAAGGATATAAAAAACCTTTATTTTTATATATTTGCAAGAGAGCTATACAATGATATAAGGTGAAATATACAAGATTAATGCTTTGCTAAGGTATGAGATTTGTAACCAAGGAAACTTAAGGAGGTAATGGATACCCTCATTTTATGTTATGTTTCTCTTTAAAAATAAAAAATATATTAGTATGAATAGCAGTGCTGGGAGGCAACCTCAGGGGAAGGCCTCGGCCTCTCTGCCCTGTCGTTGGCCCTCCAAAGGAACCGGTTGGCCACTGTGTGAGACAGGAGGCTGGACTGGATGGGATCTACAAGGGATCTTATAATGGCATAAAGGCTCGAGATAAAGTTCACCCCTTTTTCTCTCTCAACGCACTCCCTTTCACAGGTAAGCAACGTAAACTGCAAATACGTAATCTGTTCATATTGCTTTTCCCCGTTTTCTTAGTAAAACTGGTAATTGCCAGCACCTTGCTCAAAATCAGTCTTCCTAAGAAATCACTAGTACGGTTTGTGGAAAGTGGCGATAACTGTCCCATTAATACTCAGTCAGTCTGCAAGCCGCTGCAGACTGAGAGGGTTTGGCATCCCCTGCTCTTCATACAGAATTTGAGGGTGTGCCGTTTCTTTCTGCCCGTTTGCGTAGGCTGAACCACCCCAACGTTGTCAAAGCCTGTGACGTGCCTGAAGAAATGAATTTCCTTGTAAATGACGTCCCCCTTTTGGCTATGCAGTACTGCTCTGGAGGAGACCTGAGGAAGGTAATGGTGGACTACCCGTTTGACCTCGTGCAGGACTGACAGGTTTGAAGCGTGAACCAGTCTGGCTTCGTAGCTGTACAATAGGTAGAGGGGGTAGCAGTATGACAATAATAATCACAATAGAATTACTGCAAAACGTGCAAATATTATAGGATCCAATATAACATGCAGTCAAAATGTAATCAGTCCCTTCTGGTAACTCCGGGGAAGTTCGTCCATTCTTTCTTCATTGACGTCTTCACTTTTCATCTTTGACGTCTTCACTGTTGAAAAGAGATTAAAACAATGGACTGATTACATTTTGACTGCATGTTATAGTGGCTTTGTAGCTGTGCAGGGGCCCTGGCTCACCGGGAAGGAGGTCCCTCATCGCTTTTACTTGTGATCCTGGCGACCGAGAATGCCAGTTTGGGGGGGGTGTGTGGGGGGGGGGGGGGTATGTCTGTGAGAGCCAGGCTAGAGGTGAAGGGGCAGGCACATATGTGTGTCTGTCTGCTCCACTGAGTTATAAAGCTGGGGGTGAGGAGGACTAACCCAGACCTCACGCGGGGCACATGGACGAGAGGAGCCAACCCCCCCCTTTCGCCTCCTCTTCTTACCTCCCCGCATGCTGTTGCTTTGAGATACCTTTATCCCATTCCAGCCCTGACACCGAGTTAGGAGTTTGGGGCGAGGGGATTTTAGCATTATTATTTTATTTTTTAATTTTTGGGATTTGTGTCCTGCCCTCCCCTGGATGGGCTCAGGGCGGGTTCCAACAATATACACACAGTACAGGCTGTGGAAGGTCAGTAGTTCAGCAGTTCGAGACCCGGGTGCCGCAAGACGGAGTGAGCTCCCGTCTCTAGTTCCAGCTCCTGCCAACCTAGCAGTTCGAAAGCAAGAAATTGCAAGTAGATAAATAGGTAACGCTTCGGTGGGAAGGTCACAGCGTTCCGTGCGCCTTGGCGTCTAGGCATGCCGGCCACATGACCACGGAGATGTCTTCGGACAGTGCTGGCTCTTCGGCTTTGAAACAGAGATGAACACCGCAACCCTAAAGTCGGACTCCGACTGGCTTTCGAGCAAGGGAAGGTAATGGTTCCCTTGCTCGAAAGCCAGTCGGATCCGACTCTAGGGTTGCGTGGCTCATGTCCGTTTCCAAGCTGAAGAGCCAGCGCTGTCCGGAGATGTCTCCGTGGTCATGTGGCCGGCATGACTAAACACCGAGGCGCACGGAACGCTGTTACCTTCCTGCCAAAGTGGTCCCTATTTATCTACTTGCAATTTCTTGCTTTCGAACGGCTAGGTTGGCAGGAGCTGGAATCAGAGACGGGAGCTCACTCCGTCATGCGGCACACTCGGGTCTCGAACTGCCGAACTACCGACCTTCCACAGCCTGCAGTTCAGCGTCTTAACCACTTGAGCCACCGCAGTTCCTCTCCAAGCAGTAGTTTCTTCTAAAGCGTTTAAGCCTAGGAAATGTTTGCTTTGTAACATCTTAGTGAGACATTTTGTGTTTCAAGTTTAAATGTGTTGTTCTTTCTTGTAGCTATTAAACAAGCCTGAAAATTGCTGTGGACTCAAGGAGAGCCAGGTTCTTTCTATTCTTAGTGACATTGGTACGTCAGCCGCTTTCTTTTGTGCCTGTTGACCGGAAACTTTTATGTTGTGTGTGGTCTGCTCGTGACCTCAAAGTGGATGGCAACCAAGCGTTGGGCCTTGGCTTTCAGCAGAAAGGGAGGGGCTGTGGCTCAGTGGCATGCAGAAGGTCCCGGGTTCAATCCCCAGAGGCATCTCCAGTTAAAAAAGACTGGGCAGGCGTGGATGGGAAAGACCTCTGCCTGAGACCCTGGAGAGCCACTGTCGGTCTGAGTGGACAAATACTGACCTTGACGGACCAGCAGTCTGATTCAGGATAAGACCGCTTCATCCTCACATCTCCAGTTAATGGACCGGGCAGTAAGTGATGCCTGAGACCAATGTTCCCTCTAAGCTGTGGGGTCTTGTGAGCAGAAATTCTACTTTGTGAGCTGCTGGCATTAAAGTTGCGAGCGAGCGATTTGGCTGCTGCATAAATTAGTTTGCTCTGGAGCCCTCCTTCCTGAGCCGAGACGAAAATCTGTGAGTTGGAGGCTAAAAAACTGTGAGCTAGCTCACACTAACTCAGCTTAGAGTGAACGCTGCCTGAGACCCTGGACCGTCACTTGGCCAGTCTGAGCAGATGGCACAGACTTTGAGGGACTCCTGATTCAGTAAAAGGCATCTTCATTTGCTCGTGTGTGTGCGTGTGTGTGTTGTATTCTGCAAATGCATCTCTCTGCCTCCCTATCAGTATTATGAATGCACTTGTGTTCGGAGCTTTGGGCAAAGGGGCTGCGTGTAAAAATATGGTCTGCGTGAACAGGGGACAGACCTTGACGGATCCGATTCAGTATAAGGTGGCTTCAATCACCAGTTACAATCAGAAATGCAAACAGAGGAGAGCTCATGGTAAATCTCTGCTAGCAGAGCAAAGAGACTCCAGTAAAGAGGAAGGGTCTCTCCTGCCTGCAGCCTGGCGTGGTCCTTGGAGGGGACAGGACTACTCTGGAACATGAGGGTGGAGTCAGAGGTCTGCCATGCAAGTGTGCAGAGAACTGAGCGTAAATTGCCCACTCAGACTTGACACCAGGATCCAGTCCGGCACCGGTAACTCAAACGGCCGGACTCCCTCCCAAGTCTCACAAGGCAAGAGACAGTTAAAGCATCTTCCACAGTCTGGATGGACCTCCTTCCCTAGAAAGCTTGCAACAAAAAAAATCTCAGGAGCGTGGAAGGGGCAGTTTCAGCAAGAAAATAAAATTACCCGAATGGCACCTTTCCCCTTTCTAGTACCACTAACGAAGGCCTTGGGGAAGCAGCGTAGATAACGGAGACTGCAGAACTGCAAATCGGCGTGGAACGCACTGCAAGGAAAAGTGATTTCCCCCGGCCTTACCGGCTCCTGTTTTGCGGTTTTCGGTATTCTGTAGCTAATCGAAAGCAAAACAGATCTAGATCTGTCTAACAGATCTTCCTCCAACACTTTTAGGATCTGGAATCCAGTACTTGCATGAAAACAGAATAATACACAGAGACCTGAAACCTGAAAATATTGTCCTCCAGGAGGAAGGGGGAAAGGTAAGTGTGACCCGATCCTGCCTCCGGGTCAGAGCGCCTACCTGGGAGATTGGCAAGGGCAACTCCACAGTCTGTCTGGCACGGGCACATTCAAGGTGTGTGTGGGGGGAGAAACGGGGGGACAGACCCATAGGTTGAGCATGGCCAGGGACCCATAATGTTGGGCACGATCAGCTGGCAGTGTCCACAGCCCTGGGTGGTGGTGGGGGGTTTTGCCTTTGGGGTGGTGTGGAAGCGGCCATGAGAGCTGGCAGGGGTGGGTGGGTAGGCCGGGCCTCCAGGAGCAGATTCAGCCGTTAGGGAGGGTCCTAAAGGAGGCGATGTGAAGGAGCTGGAGGCTGGCCAGCAGTGGCAGGTAACTTTCCTAATAGCTGCGTATGTGAATGGCAGTAAAGACGTATCTATTGCCACAGTGTGTCTGGAGTATTTTTCCCCGGGACCAGTGAGAACGGGGGCTTCCCCACCCGTGTGGTCCAGGCTCCTGCGTTATTACGAGTGCCTGTGGTGCAGCTGCCTGCCCCAGCTGGGAGCACAATCCGTGAAAAGCCAGGGGTGATCTGGGCACCGGACCCGGGATTCTTTCGTCACTTCTTGACAAAACGCCCACCCCTGTTCTCAGTTACCGTCTGCCGTACCACGTACTATAAGACGATGATTCAGACTACTTTCTCAGCAGGACATT